GTGTGTAGTGTGTGTGTGTGTGTGTGTGTGTGTGTGTGTGTGTTTGTGTGATTGTGTGCCTGTGTGTGTGTGTGCCTGTGTGTATGTGAGTGTGTGTGTTAGTGTGTGTGTGTGTGTGTGTATGTGTGTGTGTTTGCGTATGTGTGTGTGTCTGTGTCCGTGTGTGTATACAAATATGTGATATACAATTGTGTGCAGCAAAAAAATTAGGAACTGCACAGGCGATCAGAATACACGTCAATAAATTAAGTCATGATTCTTGTCATCCATATTCATAAACGCCCGACTTGTTTACTTCCTCCGACGTCTTCAAGACATATTATCCGGCAGAACCTCGAAAAGCTGAGTTGTGTATGGCAAGATGCGGATATACCCTATGGTATTCGCTCCACAACACAATTGAAACGTTCGATTTGTGTAATGTGTGATTTTTAAAGGCGGCTAAACTTAATTATCAACTTTCATTGTGGCGTATGACCCAGGTCATCACTATATTCCCCCCAGCTATTGCATACCTGACAAAGATCCCACTAACACCAATTGGTTAGATGTGCATTAGCGTGCGTGCTTCGCGAGGAATCTACAATACTGAAATTCATCCACGCATTTAACAAATTCAATGCAACTTTCTTGCACAATAAAAGCAGCAAAAACCATACATCCAGTATATAGCAGCAAAAGCCATACATCCGGTATATTTCTTGTTTCAACGATGTTTATTTGTCTTCTATGTATTCTCACAATTGGTTGTCTCGGTACAGAATCCCTACTCTGTAGTGAGGCACCAATTGTGGGCAGCCAACAAACTAATTTCTACTAGCTCTGGCCGTGCAAGCAACATATACACAAACACCAGGCCGGCTAAAGAGCAGTTAATGTGAGAACTTTAAACGCTGAAATATGTTGCACTTCAATATGACTGGCAGGGATAAAGCTAGGTATATGGTCTAGCAAACGGAGACTCAGATCAACATAATCATCAACGCCTATCCTTGGCGACATCATATAAATACGAATGCCGGCCATGGTGGGAGTATATGCGTGGTGCATGTATAGTCATCAAGGTATCCAATGCAGAAGAGGTATAACGACCTACTTTACGATTTTGACTAAACAATCTATACAAAAGTTCGACAGGCATGTATCCAAAACAACCCAAATTGTAAAGCAGTAAAACAAGGCACAACATTCCTATACTCGCTGTCGATGCGAAAGTCGAATAAAAGTATTTGTAGATGGACAATCGATTTGTTCTCCTTCTATGTTTATTATCACCTGTCGCGGTGTTCGGGCAGCGCACAACGTAAGCAACTAAGACATATTGCAAACTTGAAACATGGGCTTGTTCTCCAACACACCTAAATAAATACCGATACGGAGACTCAGATCAACATAATCATCAACGCCATTCCGAAGCGGAATCATATAAATATGAGACCGTTCAGTGTGGAAGTATGCGTGGTGCATGTATAGTCATCAAGGTCTCCACATTTCTATCACAACTTTAGAATATAGAAGTGCACAATCATTCTTCTACAAGATAGTATCGTTGAATACCTTCTATATAAATGACAACAATGTAAAGATGGCGCTATCATGAACAGCACATACACGGCATTTAACAAACAAGCAAGTAAAAATAGGGGAGTTAGTTCATGTTTCAGGCAGTTGCCTCGTTTATTGAGATATTAATCTCTCAAGTCTGCATTGGCGTCAATTCAATTTCTCGTTATAGAGATGCAATATGTTACCCATGGGGAACATATCATTTTGCGCACGTATGCTCGCACATATGACAACAGCAGTGATGTACTTGGCTAACAGTTCATTGATAAAGCCCGTCGATGAGAAATACGCCACTAGACTATGACAAAGAAGAGAAAATCAGACTTCTATCCTATCGGAGTATAAATCTCAAACTCGCGTATCCGCTTGCAACAATCGAACGACAGTAATACATAAGCACCCTGTAAGTAATAGAATATACTAATTCGGCAAGACTCAGAAACAGTTCCAATAAAATAAAACGACAATTGTGAATACTAACCATGACCATCGCGAGTTGAGCACAAAAAGACAGACGCTTTCACCGTAATATTCGCAAGTGTGAGCAAACAACGTACAAGACAGGTTCAATCGGAGACTCAGATTAACATAATCATCAACGTCACTCTGAGACGGAATCATATAAATATGACGCAGTTCGGCGTGAACGTATGCGTGGTGCATGTATAGTCATCAAGGTCTCCTGAACGCTGAATTACTGGTATACATGCGCTAAACTATCAAGGTTAAAAAAAGGCACATCTGTGAACATGTGAATGTTCTTTCGATAGGTATAAGTTGCGATAACTTGCAAATGCCAACCATGCACATGCATTTGTTCACTGCCATATACAGCTACAGTACTGCTCTATTCAGTTTTCAACCAGTACTCAAACTGACTTTGTACATAGAACACACAATACACTAACGAAACCTGATATCAAAGCGGAGTCGACGGAATACCAGCCCTACACTTTTAATCATGAGACTTGCTTATACTTAAGTAGTTCAACTTAGAATCTTAGCTTCTCGAAGAACCTACATAGACGAAATGAAAGAGAAGTGCAAGAAAACATCAATACCCCTCGAATACTCCTACCCAATTGAATTCTCAAATCAGAAAAGAAAAATTGATTCGAATACAATATATCGGTGTATTCCTAGTCCCAAGTGTTGACGTGAATACACAGATACACAAATGCAAATTAATAAATGAATATATATACATACGTGCGTGTGTGTATGTGCGTGTAAATACATACATATATACATATATATGTGTGTGTGTTCATACATAAAAGTATATGATACATATATATATATATATATATTATGCGCTTATTTACGCTTATATGGAAATATGTATATAAATATATGGACAAAAATATACTTGCATATAAACAGAACACTTATGTACATTTATCGATGTATAATAATATTTGTATAAAACTTACACGTACATACATAAATGTTTATATATATAACACGCACATACATGTATTTTTATAACATATATATATATAACTTGCATATATATATATATATAATATAAATAATTGTATTATAATATACATATATATATACTATTTCTATAAACAATGCACTGCACGTTGGATTTAAATATATATACATACCACTTATTCTTTCCAGTCTTGTATCGCTCCTCAAGAACCTTGCGTACATTCTTGCGGGCGGCGCTGCGCTGAGCGGCGTCCTTGACGATCTCTTTGCTGACTACTCCGTCAAGAGCAACATCAAGAGTGTAACTGCAATGGTACCGTGAAGCAATGTTTCTGCTCAGTTGGTTGTCGGTTTGATATAGTATAGTACGGGCATAGTATGGTAGAGATGGGCACATGGATCAGCTCACTCACATTCACAATTCACTATACTTTTATATTGTTGACGTTGCGATAAAATGGATACTCTTTTACTCCTTCACTTCTTCTCAGTTGTCAGTTGTGATTTATGGTGTGTGCATATACATTACTATGTATATCATTAGGTACTTTCACTTAGAAATAGATCCATTGGGTATCGCCATCTCGAGCTGACATCTTCCAAGTACATACAAACAGTGTTTGTTTTCATATGCCAGTCATGTGAACTCCAGCCCAACTTTTGATAAATGTTTTGGCCTAATCATTCTATATTCTCGCACAGCGACATCTTTTAAATGTTTACAGGTCAATCATACTATGTGCCATCGCGCTATTCGTCTATTCTTTGCGACATTCTTTTCCGCCACCAGAATTCTCCCCAAAAACTTCTATAAAATACTGCTAGCACATGTATTCCTGCAAAATTTAGGTGTGCGTAACTTTGTACGCTTGTTCACGTAGAAGTAACTGCCCTCCACGTGCACGGGCACGTTCAATCCGCGTGCACGCATCTAGCATCCAATACTCTAATAACACAAACCTTTAACAAATAACTTACCGAGTGGGCATAAGGTGGTTGTAGTTCACGATCTTTACGAAAGGCTTGACCTTGGATCTCTTAGAGATCTTCTTCTGTCCCATACCCTTGCCAATCTTCAAGGGGTACTTGGATACACCAGCAACTACAGCATAGCCGTACTTTCGCTCCTTGTCTCCGTTGTCGTGGTTGGACACAATTACAGCCTTCTTACCGGCGTAACGTCCACCTAGGACGATAACGACCTTGCCGCTCTTCATGAAACGAGGCATGATTGTTGTATATTAACTTTACTATACACAACTAAAGGGATTGTATCTAACTTTGTTTCGGCAATATAAATATTTGCGTCCCTGTTTTGCTTCGGATTTCGCGGGATAGACTACAATTTACATCCACGTGCCCCTGGACCATCCCAGCCCTAAAAATAAAGTTAAAATGAAACCAAATAATATCCGCCCCTATTTCCACATACAATTTATTCTAGTGTTTCAGCTCATCATCGATTTGGCTTCAATTGTAGGTAGTAGACAAATAGAGACCAACAGGCAACAACCAACTCGAACAGACCGTACATCCTGATAATTTCTTTTTTTTTAAACATTAGAAAAAAGCGGACTGCCTGCTGTCACAGGGCTGAGGGCACACCGGCACAGCCAGTCAGTCAGACGTCGGTCACACACTGACACAGGGGCAGTGACAGACTGACAGGCTCCCCTCAAGAAGTATTTCAAAAATATTCGAGAATTCTAAACCCGCAGTTCGGTACTTTCCAGAACCAAGATGTCACGTTGCAGCGACCGCAGAAAGCCTTTCAGATTAAATTGCCGCGTCATCAAAAATGACGGGAAAATCCGATGTTGCACATTTTGTTATGATCACCCATACAAAAATGAGGTATATGTTTGGATTAAATAAGGCAATCAGCTCACAGCAATACTACTTGTGAACTGTGAACTGTGGACTGTCACATATAATTATCGAGGTCTATACAAATCCCATATACTAGGTCTATACAAATCCCATATACTAGGTCTATACAAATCCCATATACTAGGTCTATACAAATCCCATATACTATAGGAAGTATAGCATATATCGTTGAAACCATGTCTGTGCTCAAGTCTGGCATTGTACGAGCTGTAAATCCAGCCCTGGCGGCGGCGAGACCTGCCGCTGCGTCACTGTATTCGAGAGCGTACGGTTCGGCTCTGCTGGGTCGAGCGCACCTGCACGGTATGTTGACGCAACCCTAGTAGTAACATAGAATGGTTAATACTGCCATAACTGATTGTGAAACTTAGTGATTACTAGTTCCATAACTGATAGTGAACTATTGTCAACTAAAAAGTGCAATGAAATGGTCCATTCTGTCATAACTGACTAGAAATATACGTTGGAGAGTATTTTGGGTGAGACTAACATCACATTTTACGCCTTAACTAGGTGCAGAATATGTGTGTTATCAAGTGAAATATGTTCGTTTTTTTACGACACCTAACTGTACCTCTGTATGTGTCTATTTCCAAAAGGGTTTATCTGGTGTCGAATATTTGTCCGTATATGATCATAGCTTTATCCCGATGTATAGTACAATGCAAGACATGCTGATGTGAGTCAAATATTTTATTATAATAGTTTGAAAATGACTTACACACCAAAAATATATAAATAGATCAAGGGATCAATATGTAGTTGGTCATACATATATATATATGTGTGTGTGTGTGTGTGTGTGCATATGTATATGTATATGTATATATATATTTATTATTTGTGTGTGTGTACATAAACATATACATATTCACCAAAAAGGTTTATCTCGTAGCAAATATTTATCTGTATTTAATCATAGCTTTGTCCAGATGTATATCACAATATAAGACAACTAGTCTTAAGTTAAATATTTACTTTTATGTAGTAAAAATGACATACGTACCAAATAGATATAAAAAGGCTAAGGGATCAAGATATAATTGGCCAGGCATATATATATGTGTGTGTGTGTGTGTGTGTTTATGTCTGTATGTGTATATCTACAGATGCGAGTGTGTGTTTATGTCTGTATGTGTATATCTACATATACATAGCACATATTTGTATCATTCCTTAGATGCGAGTGTGTGTTTTTGTGTAGTCTTTGTCAGTATTTGTGTGCACATGTGTGTAATTTTAACAGAAGCATGTGTATGTTGCTAGGAACTTGATGTACAAATATCAGTTACAATTTCATGTATGCCTGCATAGGTTGATGGGCTTGTGCATTTGTATGGTTCTCTTTCTGCATATTTCAGTATGTGCTTGTTGTCATCGTCTTTTGACGGTACGCGGCTGCACACGAATGTCGACGTATACCTCGTTGTAATCCTCACTAAGCTTATATAATTCGTGCGTGTCTGAGAAGTTATCTATGCCTTCCCCGTGTCATATGCACATATCAGTCGTATGTGACTTTTAAAAGCGAATATGGGAGATATGTATATATATATATTTATTTTCAATCGGATTCGGATGAAACTGGGCCTACTGCGACACTGATATCTGACTGTTTTTTAAGTTGATATCAAACAATCGCATAAGTATCAGTTCGGTTGTCTGAAAATGCTCATAAGCTTTATTCCTGTGCCTCTATTGTCTGTGTCGCACCTACGCATTACATCGCTCGTATGAATTGATGGAATTGGCTCATGTAGACTACCTGAGTGTGTATAAGTATTATTTGTTTACTGTTGATTTTAAATTCAGCGAAAATGGAACCTCATTTATTCACAACTAGGGGGGTGTATATTGGTGTATATTCCCTCGTTAATTTGAATGTTCTCGGGTACTAAATACCTATATTAGACATTTCTCAATTTTACATGCATGTGGTTGGTTGAAAGACCAGATCATGTCTTGTTGTCCGTTATCTTTGAAGATGTGTGTCAAAGGGGTCTGGGATCGTGAAGGTTGTTCTATGCATGTGTTCCCTAGCTGCTCCCGTTCTGATCGTGAGTGTGTACACATTGTTGTTAATCGGGGATTTGTATTACTATCGGATATTTGCCTGCTGTGTTATGGGCATGAATTTATATTCAGATATTCTTCAGTGTGATCCAATACCAGAACCATCTCACATTGTGCTTTATGGCATTAGCCCAATAAATACTTACTTATACATTTATCCTGATATTCCTCCGGTCCGGTCACCTTGCACGTGGCAGCCTTTTACGCACTCTACATTATTTATGCTTGGGGAGGGTTTTTTTTTTGAGATTAGAACAAAGATGTCATCTAAGCACATATATTCCTATGCACGAACATGTTTTGGAATATGAGCATGGTAATCCCGTAGTGCATCCGTATAGCTGTTAGTTTCACTACACGGTTCATTAACCAATCTATTCCTCTACTTATGCTATACTGTGTAGTACACACAGGTGTATGATTGTTTGTGGGCGTGTATATACTACGTTGATTGAATATCAGGATATTCTCATATGGACTAAACGGTATGTGTTCGAAATGCAAAATCATTAATATGCATGTACGCCTATTTCAAGCGGAAATACGGCTCCAGAATGTATATCTTATTGAGCATGTAATTTCGAGGACTACTAATCCTGTACATTAATGTGCATAGATTCTAGCCCTTTAAGTACAAGCACGTGTTGTGTACGTATATATTTATTTATTTATTTATTTATTTATATATATATACCTTAGTCTATGAGGGGGTTGGATTTCATATATAGATCTAGATATCACAGGAATGTATAATTAAATATGCCAACGAGGGCGCGGATATACTCGCATATCGGTTATTACGTTGTATCGAGAAAAAATGGGCGCTGTCTATTTTCTCATTCCAAGTCTGATGTACTTTTATCTGCTGCGCCGCAACATACAGGGCGCATTGCTGGACATCCTCTTGCTGGATTGTCGTCGGCCGAGCGGTATGGACAACATATTTCGAGCGTACACACGCAACAACAAAAGCGAAGTATGTGAGTTTTGGAAGTACATCTTATTTTCGATAGAGAGTAGTTCTTATTATTGTATGTAGAGTAGCTACGCACTAGTATTCGCTAATATGTACAGGCGTGCCAGACACCAGTGTTTTATGTTTTATGACTTTTTTGTAGGATGATTTTTACTCTGTTTTTGATTTGCCGTTTGTACTTTGCAGAGTATGCGTCACAGAAGAAGCGAGACTACTATGAAGTTCTGGGCGTTAGTAAAAATTCCGATCAGAAAGAGATCAAGAAGGTACTTAAGTACTCGGCGCTGGCATTTTGCAGTTATTTTATTTTTGCTGACATTTTCATATCTGGTTTGACATCCCAAATATACCTTTTGCTTGAAGCCCATCTAGTACTTAGTGGTTAACTATTTTGCCATTCCTTATGAATCGAATGAGTATTTCTCTTCTTCTATACATCTAGGCTTACTATCAAGCAGCCAAGAAATTCCATCCAGACAGAGCGAAAGGTGCCGAAGAGAAGAAGACTTTCGGTGAGAAATTCCAAGAAATTTCCGAAGCGTACGAAGTGCTAGGTGACGAGAATCAGAAGAGCGTCTACGACCAGTATGGTCATGCTGGGTTAGACGGGCAGAATGGAATGGGTGGTGGTGGTTTTGGCGGCCACCCGGGTCATGATCCGTTTGAAATGTTCCGTGATTTTGAGAGTATGTTTGGCGGTCGTGGTGGTCGCGGCGGTGGCGGCCCTAACAGGCCGCAGCGAGGAATGGACATCGAGGTACGTGAATTTTTATTTTTATTTTTTTCGTCGAAGTGTCTGCTACAGAGTATAGGAACGCTGCCACATGTCAAGATTGTTTTCTATCGCAGAGAGGTTGCGGCATTAAGAGAGCGCATTACATTACTTGAACCTCGGATGTTGTACGGTGTCTCTGGTGTATTTCAGAAAGTACTTGCTCGTGTTCATTGCCAATTTTCATTTTCCTCTTCTTATGTGCAGGCCCAGGTAAACATTCCCTTCACAGATATCATCAAGGAGACGAAGCACACCGTGGAATACCGAGCTGATTGCACGTGTACGACCTGCAGTGGTACTGGCGCCAAGCCAGGAACCACACGGACAACATGCAGTCGATGTGGAGGTATGCCACTAGTGCTTGTAAACGTCGACCATTTCGTGTGATAGTAGGAAGAGTAATAAGTATGTTTCAGAATCATTTATATAACCCTCCCTGTCGTGCCTTTGGTCGTTCCCCGAGAACATTCCTTGTTTGTTTTTTTTACTAATTGTCAAGAAGTTGAAGCTCACTGTATTTTCCTGCTCAATTTCACCAGGTTCCGGTCATACCGTGCAACAGAGTGGGTTCTTTCACATGCAGAGTGCATGTACTGCGTGTGGGGGCGTAGGCTCTACTGTGAGCTCACCTTGTTCGTCCTGTTTCGGTGCGGGCCAGAAGTCTGAGAAGAAAACTGTGGAAATCACCATTCCCGCCGGTGTTGAAGATGGTATGTGTTACTTCTCGGTAAAAAATATCAACAATCATAGGTAGTCTTAAGCGATGTCATGTACAGAGGTCTGGCCCGTACTTTCATTCAATGTTCAGAAGAATCGCTGCGCATATTTTGATAACTCACATTATTACTATTATTCAACACACGTCGTTCGTGCATGCAGGCATGCAAATGCAAGTAACAGGGCGCGGTAGCGAAGGTGCGAACAAGGGTCCCGCCGGTAACTTGGTTCTACTCATCCGTGTGGCTCGCAGTCCTGTATTCCAGCGAGAGGGTGCTGATGTTTTGAGTAGAGTGAATATCGATATGGTCAAGGCGGCGCTAGGGGGCACTGTTCGCACTCAAAGCCTGACAGGAGAAATTGAATTGAACGTATGTACTCTAGATGAATAGTAGCACGTTCAGTATCTTCTATAGTCCTATGTGTCAGTATTCCGTTTCGTTTTCTCAGGGCTTGCCATTTGACTAGATGTTGTTTGGGGAGCTATTTCGCTCTGGATCAGCTTATGGCTATGATATGCTGTCATCTCCACCTTCTATGGCGACATACGATATGATACCCCTTTACTCCGGGTGAGTGCGCCTTGTGGCCACTAAAATGCATTCCTCCATTGTTGTATCGTTCCGTTGACAGGTACCGGCTGGCACGCAGCCAGGAGACAAACTCAGGCTACGCGGACGAGGAATTCCTCAGTTGCACCGATCGTCAAAGGGTGACCACTTCATCGAGTTCAAAGTCTCCATTCCAAAGTACGTTGCTGCTCCGTATTATATAATTGGCTTCAATTCAATTGCGTATATCCTTCATTCATTCTTCTATTGTCAATCGACGCTGATATGGCGTATTCTTTAATCGCACTGGCTTTTTAGTTGCGAAGTTCAACGCTTTTAATACTATTCAACGAATAGTTATATTGGGATGGTTTTCCGTTCCACTTAATCAATGCACATGTGCTGAACCTTTGCGCTTGTGAGCTACGCCATCCCTTGTACTGATTGTCCTGGCAGCAAAGTTTTACGACGCTTAGTATTCATTTACTGCGCTTCTGGAACGACTTTTGGCTGATTTTCTATGCCTATCGTAAAATGATTTCCTGTTCCAGGCGCCTGACAGCGGCACAGCGGGAAATTCTTGAGGAGCTTCGAGAAGAACTCGAGAATCCGAATTCTGCACGCGAGGCACGATTAAGACAGGCACAGAGTATGGCTGCCGACAAGACAAGTGCAGCGAGCGCGGAAGAGACCACCACGAAGTCGAAGAAACATGTCGACAAAGGTAATGATCCTTTAACTGCTTCCTATTATGTCATTTTTGTTGACAAGAAACTATGCTCTTTTTGATTCAGTGATTGAATCCGATGGTCTTATTAATTGATGTCTAGTTTTTTGAAATCTTTTTGTAGGCTTGGAGAAGGAAGAAAAGGCCAGCTTCTTTGGTCGATTGAAGAAGAAAGTCTGTGGAGATGACGACAGTGACAATAAGTCGAAGTCAGACCACAACGATACGTCCGAAAAGAAAGCCGAGTCTCTTTGATGTGTTTCAAATTAATCGCAATTTATTTTTGTGGTGTCGATCGACCAAATAGGCCAGCGCAATTAATTACGCCGTTCTAGTGGATGTGGCATATTGAAGTTGGAGTGGGGCCTGCTGTTTGGCGCCTCTTGGGTCAGATGAGTCACAAACTCCAAATTGCGCCCACTGATATGGGGCGGGTGGGTGATCTGTGTTTGGTACTGAAGCCCCTGTTTTATAGCATTCAGTGATGCTTTTGCGTATTCGTATGCGCTAAAAATACAATGATAGAGAAATCATCATCTACAGATTTTAGCAGGGCAAGTAAAGCGAGCAGTAGCGGGAAATCTAAGCAGTAACGGATAGTGTCGGTAGACCTGTCAGTCACTTTGATCAAACAGCGCCCGCTGAAAAGTCGGGCACGATTTAATAAAGTCGTTCACAAACACTTTCAGTTTTACTCCATATTCAAGGTGTGTGCGAGGACCAAAAAACCACAGTCGTAGCTAAATCACAACGCCATTTTGTCGGGTGACATATTATTTTTATTATGGACCCTACTTTGAACTAATAAAAACTCTTTAATCTACCCTATTGTTCCCCTCGACATAAACTACCCCTGGTTTGACCTTGAAGTAAGCACATGCGAACGAATAAAAGGAGAGGTATAATCCTACCACTCCTCTTCTTTCACTTGATAACATACTTAAAGATTACAGATCGATTGCACGTTTCTACCTATAAATGCTCCCTTCTATCTTGCGCTTTAACCCAGCCTCGACACATGGTACATTCAACGAATATTTAGTAGTCGTTTAGGCTGACACCATTCTGTACCTAACAAGTAGTTTAGTTCGTCACTCTAGGTATAACCGTAACTGAGGCTCGAGACAAGGGACATGAAACAAAGTTTCATCTATCCCGACTTACATGGGAACAGTTTTATGATACTTTATCCACTCTTTTTCCCGCACATCGAGTAACATCGAAGGGAAAAGCGGCTGTTAAGAAGCCGCGGGAGCTCACCGATCACGGGTACGTATCCAGGCAGACCTCAAACGAGAGACCCCAACATGCACGTGCTCGCGAATCCACTTTAACCACGCGACCCAATAAACGGGCACGCGCAGGAGCGAAGGACATAGAACCTCCATTTAAGGAGATTAAGAAATGTGCCGACGCCCAGTGTGGGTATGACATGTACCAGTTAACCCCTAACGGTTATTGGAATGGTAGACATGCATCCCGTGTACACACTTTCTTACTAAGTGTGACAAGTGTGAGAAAACCAATGGAATCGCTGGTACTCGTATCAGGCATATGCCATAAGAGAGGTGTGCCATATAAGCCGCAAACGCAAGACGCGAATGAAACGCGCCATAGAAGACTTAAGTTCTTCTTGCGTACTGCATTAACGGATGATGCAGATGATTGGCCGTACCACCTTAAGTGGGAACAAACACAGATGAACGAGTATGCTGATCCGGTTACAGGAACTACACCCGCTCACTATTTTCGTGGCAGATATAGTGAGTTACAAATCCCTTTTAACAAGGACGAACCCGATCACCATGAGTTACCATGGTTAGAGAAGGTCCAACGTATTTATAACGTTGTATATCCTTGCTTGCGAGAAATACGCAATATAGCCTTATTAAAAAGGCAAAAGCGTTGGAGCACTACCAAGAAGATAGCAGAGTATCAGGTTGGTGACAAAGTTAACATCTGTCAACGTAATTCCGATGCTACTGTATTAACATCTAAATGGATAGGTCCATACATAATCTCTGTAGCAGACACTAAAAGTGGAACGTACGAGGTAAATAACACCGATGGTTCTAGTGCGCTTACTATAGGCACAAGTCGTATTACGACTACAGAGATTATACTCGCAAGAAAACATGACTCTAATACCCCCCTTGATCGTTCTGAATTTAAAGACACTGTATGGAGAACGGATAAGGGAGGCTATACATACTATCGTACACGCTTTATAGACGGTACAATAGCTGAGTTGACTTCAGATTCTTTCGATAGCCAAGACTATTTAAAAGCCTTTAATCGAAAATGGCGTAAACGCCTGCATAAGTCACAAGCTGAAAAAGATAGCATGTTTCCATCGTCTGAAGGAACGGAGTTAAAACTTATCCGCCTACAGCATTTATCCCGAGCCTTAATGCTCATCCTTCATATGTGCTTAAGACACTGGAGCGTAAGGAACGTCCAGTCGACCACCACGGACCTACTGGACCTAAGCCCAAAACTCACAGGGTAACCGAGAACACTTAACTTCTAGGCCTGAGAAACATTAACTATATGTTATGCTACTTAATGTTTAAACCCGTTTTTCCTTTCTCGCTTTTTGACCCATAAACTTGAGTGAGCAACTTGCTTCTCTTGAGTCTCTAAGCTGGGTGGGGGCTGTGTAATAAGCCGGGCCTCCACATAGACTCTATGTATAAACGTACTCTTAAGCAGTACGCAAATTATATACGTACTCTTAATAGTACGAAGAACTTCAAGTTTCCTAAATGTACTCTTAATAGTACGAGGAACTTAAGTTTCCTAAAATGGTTTTAATGGTTTTATTAATTAAACCTTTTCCATTTTACAAATCAGATATTTGGATGAGGCCATTAAAAGAAAAACATAAAAGAGTTGGTCTAATTCTATTAATAGAGCATTATTTACTTTCCAATTTTATTTATATCTGAATACTTCGGTAGCGAGATGGCTCAACCGAATATAGGTTTCTAGGGACTATTAACGTTACTTAGTTGATCCTCCGATAAGCCAACCAGATGTGCCAGTCTGATGAAGGCTAAGTCGGTAATTCTTGACAGTGGCAAGTTATTGGTTAAGACAATAACTAAAGACGTCACTAAAGACGTCAAGAGTAAATTTTCTATTTTTTTTCTAAAGGTAGGATTTTATGAGTCTCTCGGATTCGCCCCAGAATAGAGCGACAACAAAACACTAAATAAAATCCTTTCGGCGGAAACAGTACTGAGAGGATTATATATTGGCAATGTCTCAGCCTCACAATCCTTCAGAGTATTGCTGTTTTCACGAGGCAAACCTAACTTAATTAAACGTCTCATTTTGTTTATTTATATCGATATTTACACGATATAGAATTTACCTATGCGTTTATTTATTCTAAGGCATTAGTATCGCCTTTATTAGACCGAATCTTACACAAGGGCCAACTATTGCCTTAACTTCAACGCTTGCATTTACGAAGTCAAGAAGTGAGACAAGGGACACGTCTCAAGACGCCCCAACCAATTCTTATGACGAAAATCAGAAAGAAAAGTCCCCAATTGAAATGGACAAAGACGAATCTCAGAAGGTACCTATACCGGAACCAGAAGAGGAGGCAAGCTCAAGTGGCAAACTTGAACCTACGTCCAAAAGCACTGAACCAACGCGCATAAGTAAGTTAATTACTGAAAACACTGATCTTAAGAATCAGTTAGCCGCCCTTATGAAAGGCATGACTAATGAACATGTAAATCAAATGTATAGATCAGGAAAACATACACATCATTTACGCGAGCATGTTTTTCCTGGCACTACTGAAGACCTATAGAAGTGGACAGAACGTCGACTGGCAATTACGCCCGAAAGGCGTTAAGGCCTGAGCGCTACACCTGTGGCAGATGAGCCAGACGTGCTCAGCGTATCTACCACCAGAACTCCAGGCTAATTATTCGCCTGTTCTAACGCCCGACCATGAGTCGCCCGTCCTTGAGGATATTATAGACCCAGAGGCAGATAAAAATACTCCGCCACTTTTGCCCAACTGGGATGACAATCGTCGGAAACCAGTAAAGACTGGCTATGTCATTCAGACACATGAATCACCCAAAATTATAATACCAACTACTATCCAAGGAATAGAGCACCGAAAGACATCGACCATGGACTTTACAAGGAGTAGTAAATACTCCCGTAAACGTTTTAACGATGTCGAATTTAATCGCTTTAAGAATGATCGGGACTGCCTCTTGTTAAGAGCCTAAATATCCTCGATCACACAGGGCGTACCCCTAGCTTTTCTTTATTGAATAATTTTCACTAGAATTACTAAGTGTTCATGACCAAATGCCTAATTTGTAGATAGACATAATAACGTAAGTCACGTTAATACATTAGCTGATATAAATAAAGTTCCATCTGAAGAAAAGTTAAAAAAAGAAAAAGACTTATTGGATTTTGGAGATTGGCGGGAGGACCAAAATCTATAAGTAGTAGTTCGGAGATTATAAAATTTAGTTTATAATATCCTACATCTACTAATGTCTCAAATAGGTCCAAGTAGATGAGTCATACCAAATACTCAGGCTATTGGAGCCATCAAAGTGAATTTAGAACACTTTGGAAATATTGGAAAAAGAGCTTGTATTAAATTATCTAAAATACAAATAAAAACCAATGTA